TAAATGGAAAAACACAGCTTACATGATTTAAGGCTGATCTATCCGTTAGTAGTAGGTCAACATCCGTCCTATTTTTTTATTTCCTTACATTAAATTATTTGTTTTCCATAGCCTTATTCTAAATGTTCTACTCAGCAGCTTAAATACTACTTATAAGTACATTCAATTGGCACTGTGCCCAAGGGCTTGGGCAATAATACTCAGACAGTCGTACAATGAACCATAAGCTCGTAAATTGTTCCACAAACAAATGATACCGAAAAACCTAATTCGTTCGCCAATGAGTGTATATTTGCTAATTTCGTGCAATATGGTTTCAAGTAGAACATAAGTTTGACGGAAACTCGCGGACTGTGCCTACCTGATGAGCCCCGAAAAGGGCGAAACCGGTCGTGGGATGTCGGGGAGTCTGCAGCAACCTTATGAGTAGTGCCTTACAAAGATATACATGTATCGCGATATCTCGAATATCGTAGTGACTGAAACATGAGGCGGCCTGGTGCAGCACATTCGGTTGCCTGGAAATATCACAGACGAGAGATTCAGCTGGGTTCCAGGTGAGTCTCTCGAAAGAACAAATTAGTTTGCAAATGAGTGTATATTCGCTAATGATCTAGCTATGTATTGATAAGATGATAAGACGGTCCGGTGCAACATCGACCCCAGTCAGCTGATCTACGAATAATTGACAGTGACAAATTGGTAGCGTACCGACTGCCTGACATTAGCATGCACGGTCTGACTCGTTAAATCTCCACCGGCGCTAAATTAACATACCGTGAAAAGGGAAAATTATTTGTCTACTGAACTCTCCCAATGGAAGCAAATTTCTGAACAGATTTGACAAGTACGAGGTCATTAATAGCTCTTTAACCGTTTCATTTTTGCATCTATCTATGTAAATATGACGTCAGTGGTTAGTGTTTTTAGCGGACGGATCAAATTTTTAAGAAAATATCATTTTTCGAGTGAAGAACTTCCCGAAATGTAGTCCCATGGCGAAAAATTGACCATCGGTGGCGAGCTCTTCGTCCCAAAGGTAGTTGCTGTCCATTATTCTGGGGCGATCGACGGTGCACATTTTAGCATTACTCACTCTGGGAGCTATTTGGGACCCATTTAACCGGGAGATCGATATTCGTTAAAGGTAGGTAATGCAAACGTTTCCACGCTCCCTCCCTCCTGTCCATTAGCAAGAACCGAGGGATGAATCAGCCGCCCGATTGTCATACCCCAACCTAGAAGCTCGTCAGTCACACTTTGTCGGCGCCGTTCACAAACCGAATAGAGACGTCCACAAACTCGAAGTTATCCATGGTGCTTACCACACTTTTGTACCATTCGCAGTCTAATCGAAGTTGAACGGTACTCAAAAGAAGCGAGCTGAGTGTAGCTAAATCTTCAGCAACGTCGATTTCAAGCCTGTCAAACGACAAGCTTTGTAACTTATTGATTTCTTGAAAAAATTTCAAATCCACCAATCATACGGGTCAACCTGCTTGGGAAAGTATACAAATTTATAGATATTGTTCGATTTACTTAGAAATTCATAGGGTAATGACTTGACTGCAGATTTCGCTCCTACACGTTGCTAAGAAATTCACGAGAAGGCATACTTACAGGGATACTGGAATTGCTTCCATATCCGCGCGGCCGGTTCTGTCCTGGAGCCAGCGCATCGCCGTGAGAACCGAGTAGGATATGGTAAATCAAGCCCAATGGGAGAACTTTGCCCACGTAAGCTACTGTTCCTGATAGGAAGTATCCGAACCACAGCACGAAATATTTCCAAGCCTACTAAACTCGGATATTTTGTGGATGAAAACGTGGTGAAACGCTGATTCGAAACGCTTTTTTCAACGAAGCCACAAAGAAAGTACTGACTAAACGTAATATCTCACTAGGTACAAAATGGCCATTCTTAAGAGAAGCACTTTTGTTAAAGAGCACTCATTTTTACTCTTGTTAGCCGTGACTTAATACAAAGTGTCTTGAATAGAGGAGACCATCGGGTAAAGTCAAGTGTCCTCTTGCTTTCTTCACGTTTTTAACGTGTTTGCAGATTTCATGTGCACCCATTTTTCTCTCAATTCATTTGATTCAAAATTTTAAGACTTCTATCATCAATTTTTCCTCAAGTTCGTTTCTACTCCAAACGTGGTTTTCAGTGGGACTGATATCCTTCATTCTGGCTAAGGGAAACAAGGGATTTGTCGTGCTAATTTGGTGTGAACAATCTGAAAGAGAATAACGTGGCTCCATAACTCGTGAGGGTTAGCATAACTTTACGACAGCGAAAAACATTTGATGGAATACCAGGCGCCACAAAGTATTCAGTCAACTGGCTTATCGAAGTCGACCCTGAGTAAGCAACTCACAGATCAAGGACCCACCAACTCAGTGCTAATATTGAGTCAGCCTAAACCATCAGAACGACGGACCGAGAAAAGTGAATCACTGTGGAGGCAAACTAACGAAATTCATGATGGTATGACTCGACAAGTCAAGGCTCAAGGTCACCCTGACACCCACTAATCAGAACTCAGGTCAAACAACAGGCCGTTAGGATTGCTAACAGAGATAGCCAATGATCGATCAGGGTGCAACTCGGTAAGCAGCCCCTATATCGATCCACGCATGAACAAGAAAGCGAGCACTTCCACTCCCAGCACACTGATGATGTCACCCCGACTAGTGATGAAACGTTTGTAACCAAAATGCCCAGCTCAACGAACGAACCAACGACCATTGATACGACCTGAGCTGCCAGCACCTCTTCGGTTACAAATAGAAACACATGGTTGTTCTGCAAATCAGTCTTGAGGCTAGCAATTTCCTAGGTGTACACCACCTTTCAGTTGAGGTTTTATAAATCAATATTCGTATTTATAACATGGCTGAAATCATATCCTTAGTGCTTCGATCTCATTTACTTAACAATATTTCTTTTCTAAGTACCACTCAGCGTGTCTGCCGAGACCACCGTGGGAATGTCGATCCGTACCTCCGGATCCCTTGGAATCAGACGGTATACAGATTTTTCCCCAGAATCAAGTTAAACTGGTGAAAGGAGGAAGACCTTCGCTGTGGAGTTGTTTATCAAAGAAACCAACTGAACAGTTACAAATTATTGGACGGGGTAGCAAAACAATCATATGCATCTTGTTTACACAACTGAATATCCATCATCTCCTTGGACGCGTCTCCTTGAAGTTTCCTGGATATTTTTTAACTGTTACTTAATTGCTGCAATCACTGCAATTGTGTAGTAATAAGGTAACCACAGGGAATCTACACGGGGTACACTACTCACAAGGTTGCTGAAAACGCTGACAGCTCACGACCGATTTCGCCCTTCTCGGGGCTAATCAGGTAGGCGTAGTCTCCAAGTTTCCATCACGCTTATGCTTCGCTTGAAGCCCAATAGAAAACTACTCTCATTGGCAGCGGATACCAAGCTGAAAGGTCACGTGGACATCGGCGAATGGGGACACAAGACAACGGAGCAACCAATGGAATCACCCGACCGAACAGGTAATCGCGATCAAAGGTTATCCATTGCCAGCAGCAAGTATATTAACACACGCGTAACACTACTCAACTCACAGCCACTAACCCACCGCTACGCTCCCCAATAACGCACTAATGATGTCACCTCGATTGATGATGAAGCGTTCGCGATCGAATCGCCAACGACCAGGTTACGCAAAGACAAATCGGGCTCTTACAGACAAGTGCCATATCGGTTTAGTCGGATGAGACGGGACTTTGAGACAGGTGTTATAAGGGGAGAGTAAACACACTTGAACCTCGCTCGAAACTCGTTTCGTTCCCGATGACGCTGTTGTTTATACAGCTGGTTGTGAATTAAATGTACAGCTGATGATATTGACCAAAAAACAGATGCTGAACATATTCGTCAGCGTGTACAGACTGCAGACTGCTGTAGAGCGTTTCAGAGAGAGCTTTTAGGACAATGTTCAATAGGAAATCTGTTTTTTAGCTATACTTCACTAAGATTTCGGTCACTTAACTGGAGAAAAACAGGTTGATTCTGAGGAAGACTTGAGGAAGGATATTTCTGATTCCTCCGAGGATCTTCACTTCATACGCCTTTAATCAATATTTGTTTGATAACAAAAAACGGGTGACATGTTCTCGAGAAACACACTCATTTGTAAATCAATTTGGTTTTCATGAGAGATTCAAGTGAATCTCTCGTTTATGATATTCTCTCGCAAAACCAAATCAGTCTGCAAATGAGTACCAGGATCACCATCTTTCTTTGTGATAACTAACAATCCACCCTCAATCCAATCCGAAAACTAAAATCTAAAATGAAACTACTCACAAGGTTGCTGGAAACTCTTCGACAACCCACGACCGGTTTCGGCCTTTTTGGGGCTAATCAGGTAGGCGCAGTCCCCGAGTTTCCGTCAACCCCATGTTCTACCTGAACCCCAATTGGCCTTTTTTCGAGAAATACACTCATTTGCAAATCAATTTGGTTTTCACGAGAGACCCAACTGAATCCCTCATTTACGATGTTCTACAACTTAATGTGCTGCACACAGGCCGCCTCATGCTTCATTTGGCCCGATATTCGAGATGTCGCAGTATATTTTCATGAAGAAAACTACTCACAAGGTTGCTGACATGGTCCGAGAACAGCGTAGTGCAACGGACCTTTAACAGTTGGATACGATCTCACCGCAACAGCGTACCGAGCTATTTTTGCCGTCACTGTCAGGAAAAACGAATTCCTGAAGATTACCTCGGGGATTACCTGAAACCTCCTGAGACTCTCAAACTCCACTAAACACCGATCAGACAGTTTTGGACCAAGGTCACACAGTACCCTTCAAAACGTAGCGCGAGACAGCCTTGGATCAAGGTCAGATAACGCCCTTGGGAATGTGGCGACAGAAGCCTTGGATCAAGGTCAAGCAGTGTCCTTTAAATACAGCGCGAGGCCGTTGTACTTGCATGCACTCGCTTGTATGCAGCAAAGCTGTCGTGCTCCCTGTGGACGAGTCTTTTTCTGGCATTGGGCACTGCAGCGGGGACAGCAGTCAGATAAACAGTCACCTAAAGCAATGCACTCTGAGCACTTGACGGATGTTAGGATACAACGAAATAAGTAAGCCGACCTTACAAACGGAGCCATATAATGACAAAAAAATACTTCCCCATCCTGAGACTGAGTTAGCTTTTCCGCTGCATATTTGGTTAGAATACCTATTTATTGAGAAATACGTTTGAAATTGAATTTATGTGACACTGGTCTGCGCGCAAGTGGTCTGGTGAGCGCACACCAAAGACAGCAAGCTCTTAGTTGAGGCCGAGTTTGGATTTGAGCACCGGTTGTCTGTCATGTGAGGCGAGGCTGGTTGATGAACACAACTCAGTTACTAAGACAGATGCGTTCACAATTGACCGATGGGATTCGCTCCATCGCATGGAGGCATTATCCTCGTTTGTACATGCATAGATTTCTAGACCCAGGTAAGCTTAGCTGGAATTGTTTTGAACGAGGCATATTCATTAATCACAGTCACACTGCAACACCAAATAGTAATGTCAACGAAAAACATCTATTTGCCTCCTCTAGACACGTATGGCCTGTCTTTTTGACGGTTCTTTTGGCATTTCCCGGTGGGCTTTATCGAGGGAACAGAGTTTTTTTGTTTAGTTTGACATCCCAAAGTTGGATGGGTGAAAGTTGCCTACAGCGGTTCCGATTCACCTGTAGAAAAAGTCACGGGTTTTTATATCAAATAATATGATAGCTTGTCCTGAATGTGCTTCGCCAACATAAAGCACTTTTCTCATCTTACCCTGATGGCAGTTAGTTCTCCATCAACCGAAAAAATGCACGGTAGTTTGATGCGTGGACTAGATAAGAATTAAGAACAAAGTTTGCTGAGTTGGCGCAGATTTTTTGACAAAATTGAGCCGGAAATGATTTTGTGAAGCCGCCTTTTATCCGAAATCGTTGGATCATAATTGAATTATTTAACCACTAATTTATCTCAGAGTTCTTTTAGACCCTTTGTAAGTGGACTTTGTTTCGCCCGTGGTCATCTAAAACTCACAAGCGAACCTCCATATCGAAAGTGGGTGCTCGAAATTTGCTAAAGTCTTTCAACTTCGTGGACTTTCGAAAGTGCTTATGACACTAGATCCGTCCTAGCTGGAGTTTATGCTCATAGTGCAAGATTTTCACTCATATGGAATGAGATGACCTTGAGTGGAAAATAGTCTTCATAAATATCTGAGTCAGTAACAGGTGTCTGTGTTAAGCTGAACGAAGTGTGACACAATAACTAGTAGAACATGTCGGTATGACTGCTGGAAGTTCCTGACACTGAAGGTATCTCGGCCCTCGTGCTTCCTTCGGGGGAGGTGGGTGGGCATGGCGACTATGCAGCGTGAGGATGTTACAACCGAATGAATATTGTTCCTAACATACCAACGGGCAGATTTTCGTCCATGAATCACACAAGTGCGTTCCACACATGCATCACGAAGTTGGTCTTTTATCCTTTAAAAGTTCTTCGAAAGTTCCTTTATCCTATTTAGAAGTGGAACGGTATACATATAAAACTAAAAAATAGTTTATCTGTAGCACCTTCTGGGTGGCCAACTGTCATGCCACTCGAAGGAAGCACGAGGGCCGGGATACTGTCAGTTTGCTGAAGCCTGGGCAGAGAAAGTTGAGAGGCAGATGTCGGGTTCGAACCACGGTCAGTAAATTCGCGCTCTTACAACAGAGATACCCTGCCCGGGTATATATATGAAGTGGAAACTGAACAGTTTAGGATGTTAGACACCATATTTTGCGATTTCTCGGTCCAGGCTAACCTAAGAGCGAAATGAATGATTCATCTAGTGTAGGTCGTTCGGCCGGTGGATAATGTCACAATTCGCGGACGTGTGCATCTCAACACATGTTTTAACCCTCGAATCATGCAAATACTAATATCGCTGCATCACTGCAACAAGAATGAACTCCTTGGGGCTTTTTCGCGCGGTACACGAACCAGAGCGTATTGGCCAACCAGTCGCGTTGCTATGTGTAGGTTGCTGACGGCCACAGTGCCTTAAATGATGCCAAATTCAAGTTGTAAACGCAAGAGTCGAGTTAACTGAAATGCAAATGACACCAAAACATGATGAGCCTCGTTCACTGCCGTTCGAACACCTGTATATAGTTGTTTTGTTTAGTTTATTACTCAAAAAAGACTGTATATTGGTTGAAAAATGATTCTCTTAAATTACGGGGTATAAAAGTTGCTGAACTCCGTCTACCGAATGCTTCGGGCGATCGTTCTAAACTAATAATGTTCTACTTCCTGTGGCCTACCTCAAGTCATACAGGAAAACAGGTACCGTGTAAAGGGCAATCGACCAGTCTGTATTGTCAGACTAAGTTGAGACCTCCGCATATTCGGGCTAGCTTAGCTCAGTTTGATTCAACTTGAATGACCTGATCGACCATCTGCCATCTTGATCGTCGATTGTTGAAATCTTGTACTACCCGTTGGTTCTAAGAAACACATCCAGATCTCAACTATGGCTTTCGTTACTGGTGTACCCCTCGACGCACTTCAAGGACAATGCAAACACCTGCATATTACTTGGACCACTAGGGTTCTTGAGCTTTCCTGTATGTATTGCTTTACCCAATGTCGACATGTTATCTAGTTTTGGAGTGTTGAAATGCACCTGGACCACACCACCAGACGACACACGGTCGAATTAAGATTGGATGATTGATCAGGCCATGTAGTTAGTCACAAGAAGCGTAACCGAAAGTATCAGCTGTGTAGTGTGACAAGATCCCCAAGGGCCCTTAGTCAGCTCGAATCTTCGCGGGCTTGCTCAACTCATGCTCATGGACATTTCAAAGATTAACGAATCTTTTTTGACGGACAGTACTGTTACACAACTGACTCACCACATCTTGCAGTAATGGAGCTAGACGAGTCCCGTAGAGTAGTAAAGACAACTATGCGGTCATATACTACTCATAATGCTACTGAAAACCCCTGGACAGCCACAGGATGGGTATGCAGATGAGTGCATTTGTACAACTACGAGGTCAATTTACGCTTCTTTATCCATGACTGACTTCAAGTAATTTTGTGGAAAGCAAGGTACACAACAATCATTGACCGCTGATTTCAACGAGCGCCATTTCTTTCTGGTTTGCTTGCATTACAGTCAAAGTGTCATCATCAAATGTTGATTGCGGTTCAGAAAAACAAGACTAACGTTCGCTGAATATGGACAATGTTGTTTACCAAACCCCTCTGAAACGAAGTCCCAAACATTTTCCAACTGATTGAGCTTACTGACCGTATTTTCGTTGTTGCTGTCGTTGTTCCCTGGTCCCGATTTCCAGACAAATTCGTGACGGAAATTAACCAAAGATTTCCGCCATACTCTTATTCCGTTTTTTTTCGACACAAAACAGTTTACTTCTTGAATAATTCAACATCTTTAAGAAGTTTGTTCACCCTTCTCCCACCAAGACGTTGGGAGTTACCGCCCCAGGGAAAGTTCACCTGATTGCAGTCCAGTTTCCTCAAGACGCAGCTTCAAACTTTTGTACTCTGTACAGCGAATAACTCCCGTTCTTTTAGATTTTATTCCTTGGGTTGTGGTGAATCGCTTTTGGCTGTGTACTACCACTCTTTATATGCGGATGCCTGGAATAAGCTTCAAGAATGAGGAGATCTATAAGGAGAAAAAACCCGGAACTAGACATGCAAAGGGAGGTCAGGGCACTGTGGTGAATCGCTTTTGGCTGCGTACTACCACTCTTTATATGCGGATGCCAGAAGTTAGCCTCAAGAATGAGGGGATCTATAAGGAGAAAAAAGCCAGAACTAGACATGCAAAGGGAGGTCAGGGCAGAAATACGGACCACAACGCAACACAGATCATAGTGGGACCAATCAGAATCCAAATGTGACTATTATCAATAGCCAATAAGGTTACAGCTCTTTGTCGACTACATAAGTGCAAGCACAAATAGAGGGATTACCGACCCAACAGTGTACTGAAGATGTCTTTTCGAATGGTGATGAAAAGTCTGCAAGTCAGTTGCTAAGCTGGGCGAAGAGATTAGCAGTCAGCTGACAAATTACCAACGAGTGCACCCGAGTTATCAACATTCCACCACCAGTAAGGCATGTGTGTCTATTCTTTCTGATTATCCTGGTTGGTATGGATGTTCCATCTGCCAAAATGTTGATCCCCGTTATCATGTGCACACCATCAACGTAGGAATATGACAGAGGACAATACCCGTAGGTCGATTGGCTTACTTCACTGGTTCTGCTGTTGTAATTCTTGCCCGAATAAACAAGCCGGGATAACCTTAGGCTGGGCTTTAATGAAAAGGTCCTATGCATGCCCTCGTAGTCTTTATTACGAAGCACCATCAGGCTTGGATTGTTTCTTATCGTGCTAACTAGTCGAAAACAGCTGATCACGCTGGTGATCAAGTGGAAAGATATCGTCAAAAATATGAGAGAGAGAGCTGAGTCACTTTCAAAAATGCATATAATGCAATATATGAACGCAAACTGTAAATGTGAGTTTGTCATTCCTCAGGATTGTGGAACGTATTATCACTAACAACAAATAAAACAGCATGACCGCAGTTATCATTCGTCTAGTTGGTACTGCTTTCCTTCGAGTAACTGACAGCTTGTCAGACGAAGCTGGCATAGTGTCATATTGGGAAGTGGCGAAAACAACTCATCAGAAAAAGAATGACGCCTTAACAAAACATCACTCTTTCATGGCTAGCGGAGGTGGACTGGCAAAAAGTAAATCCGGCTCGACACTCGTCTTTTCGTTTTTTTGGATGAACGGCATCCAAAATTAAGGCAACTCATGCGCTTCCACTTCTCTCCTACGGCACCACAATTGAAAAGAAGAAGGCCTTTTCTGCGGAGTTATTTGTTACAAAATGTCAACTGACTAGTTACAGATTATTGGACAGGGAAGCAAAAGTCTCATTTGCATTTATTTACAAAAACTGGACATTCACCTCCTCCTGAAGGCGTCTTCTTGAACTTTTCTAGATATTCATTGACTCTAATTATTCATTGCCCAAATCCAAGCAAATGCCACAAAGCGACTCCACAAATTCCTTAACAGATCTCTCTTTTCAAGGGACGCAAGGAAGAAACATACTACTCGCATCCCTCCGAATCAGCAGTATCACCGTTACACTGTTACATCACTCTGCTTCACAAAAAGTCCCAACACTGCCCGTCACGAGTGACGGCTATCGGAGAAGGGAGTATTTTCGCCCTCTTTCTATCTCTGTTAGGGAGATCCCAGTCGGAGTGGCCTTTATTAAAAAAAGTCCGCTTTTCGCCGAAAGTAGCCTGGTGATTACTAGTTGCTGAAATGAGCCGATCAGCCGTGTAGCGGTCACTCATTAAAGCACGCGTCACAAACACGCAAATCACTTAGAAAATCCTGTCCCACTTTCAACCTCAACCAACAACAGGTACACTACAATTTCTCATCCATTTTTTGTTCACACGGTTACCACTTGCGTCACGCGCCAGGCTCACGAATTTCAAACACATCGGGTCAAGTTGTATTCATGTTCGTGCAATTATGAAGCACGAATGGACACCCCTCTCTTCGGACTGCACACAATAGATAGGCATACAACTCGGACCAAAAGCACACTCGCGCGCACAACACAAGAAGTCGACCGAGCTCCACAAGTCTCCACGGACAGCTACAAAACACCTGTAGTAGCTCCACTGTGGAGAAGGCACGTCCCGTGTCCGAAACTCTACTCAGGAGATCTCAACAGTTGTCCTCAAACGATAAGCCACTTTTTGGCCTATTCCTTACTTGCATTGTACTTATTTTTATAAAGTGCACATAACTTTTTGTATTCAACATCACCATTCTGGTAAAACAGACATTTTCTAATGCTTACCAACTTCTAATAATCAACCTAATTACGTTACACCAACTTATGTAACAATCGCACCAGACACAACTGTGCGCATTCGGTCACCCTATCGGTCCGCATATCAAGTAGTCGAAATGGATGGCCGAAAATTCGTCGAGCTTTATTTTTGACAAAATCGGTGAATTCGCAACTAAAAAGTATTGTGAACGGAGCAGCATGATTTAGACATCTTTGTGGATGATGAAGTTTGCCTGCTAAAAATAGCATCATTTGGAAAGGATGTCCGTTCGTCTAAATCGTTCTTTTGAGGGAGAAATTATCACGATATGGCACAAAGTGTTCTCTCTAGTAAAGAATCACCTCTCAGCAGCATCATTCAAGCTATATTCACGGATGTTGGATAATTAATCAGCCACTGGTAGATGTAATGTGTCAGTATAATGCATTTCGGGTGCGTTTACTGTCGGTCGATTGGATCGTTATCGATCTCTTCACCAAGATCGGTAACTGGCTTGCCAAGTTTTGGCCACTTTTGGAAAAGACATTATAAGTGACCCCTGCAGCTTGGCGAGCTCGGGGGACAAGCTAACAGCTTCAAATTAGCTTTCTTAAATTGGATGCAGAGTTGATAGCTAACGGTGGGTACTGCCATGAGGTATGAAGTATTAGTATCTGTCGCAACCCAGCCCTGTCTTGGGAACCTCTCTGGACCAGTAATGGTAGAGCGCTGCAGTATCCCAACGCCCGGAAGCAACTAAGGTCCCTGAAAGAAAGAACGACAGGCCATATGGTCTTGTGCCCTAAACGATCGTGAGTATGGCTAAGGTGTCCAATGACAACAAGCCATTGAAGGGAAAATCAGTTGCTTGGCTTGTAATCCTGCGGGACACGGTGAGGGTTACCGCACACGATGCAACCCCACGACCGCCTGAGTTAACCCTAGATTTTCCTCGAGCTAATCCCCGTCTACTCAGTCTCTGAAACTAACCATCCTGAATTTCGTATCTTCTCAGGCAGCTGTCTGCAAAGTTGGACGGTTTTTGGACCAGGACTGAGATCGAAGAGTGTGCCCAGGCGGTCAAATCTAATGGTCGCACCAGACTTACCTTTTGACGTTACATCCTATGCGGAGTGCAGATGGGGCTTGGGTAGCTATTTTATGCTGTTATTTATCGTCGCGAATCACATGCCGCAGGTATCACACGACAGTGTTCCGCTGTCTATTACACCCTCAGCAAGCGGACGGACGTAAACTGTTGCTGATTGACGCGTTTCCGACTGCGTTCGGGCGGTAACGAGACATCAAAGCGACTGTCCACCGAAATAAAGTGACCGAGTTCTGCGCGAATGCAACGAATAAGTTATATGTTCATCTGAAAAGCCTAATCGTCAAGTAATCACACAGTGTTTGCACAAGGATGATTTCCAGGATAGAATCGTGGTGCAATTTCGAGAACAGAAAAGTATTGGGTTGTAAGTTTTCGAAGTTGGGAACAGGATTTTACTCACTGCTCTTTCTGGCGGTTTACTGTTTTACTAGACACCGTCCTCCAAATTGACAACGAAACTACTTCTGCCCATGTGGGAGGAGTCTGGTGGCTGTTTGGGGCCATTTAAATATATCTTTTCGGCTCCCAGCATGCTTCTTGGTTGATCTGTTCACCGAACTCAACAGCAGTCCGATCAACAACCAATTAACTTACCCGATCTACCAGCAGAAAGCAACCTCAGAACGCCCGGAACCTACTGCTCCACCAAAAACTCAACAGGAAACCCGGCAAGCATCCAGGCCAGTCAATCATTCAATCAATTCAGCAAAAGCAAATGAGTCCTCATGCACGCCACAGAAGCACGACCGAATGTGATCAGCGTTCAGGCATTTCATAGAGGCACGATCAATGTTGATGGGTGTTCACTAACGCCTATCAGACAGCCTGGATCAATATCAGAAAGTCCCCTTTAAATAGTGTGGGGCCGTTGTAACTTTTGCTCTCGCAGTCGCACACACCCACTCACTTGTTTGGAATATAGCGTTTGTGTTCCCTTATGAGTCATTTTTTCTCTCCGGCATTAGGCACCGGAGCGGGTCAGCAGCAGATACTACAGATTGATGAATCAGCAGATATAACGGTCGTGGAGTTTATTCCGGAGAGTTCTGAGGCAAATGTTTGCTAGCTTTCACATGAAACCGCCTGAGGTTCATTCGCATTCGATGATTGACAAAGAAGGCGGCGTCGGATATTACGTACAGCCAGTTTATTCCGAGAGTTCTGAGGCAAATGTTTGCTAGCTTTCACATGAAACCGCCTGAGGTTCATTCGCATTCGATGATTGACAAAGAAGGCGGCGTCGGATATTACGTACAGCCATGAAGGTTTAAGAACTTATCCTCGCTTGCACTCCCTTATCCCCCAGATTCAACAGTCGGTTTCCAGACTCCATGGATAGATAACATACATGGATAAATGCATCACAGTAGCCTTCTACTGGAAACCACCCTTGTAACGGTGATACTACTGATTGGGGGCATGTGAGTGGTTTATTTTCTTGCAAATCCGCTTTGCGTCTCTTGAAAAGTGATATCTATTACGGAATTTGTGGAGTCGCTTTGTACCGTTTGCTTGTAATTGAGTACCAGTCAATGAATATCCAGGAAAATTCAGGAAGACGCATTCAAGGGGAAGATGGATATTCAGTTTTTGTAAACTAGATGCAAATGAGAGTTTTTCTCCCCTGTCCAATAGTTTGTAACTGTTCGTTTGGTGTTTCCCTAATAAACGAGCCTTCTTCCTTTCATCCTGAAATGTTGTGTAAGTGGTGGTAATGATGTTGACTGTTGCCAATCAAAAGAACTCCCTGTCGAAGACCGCTGTACAAGACAAATTTACCACCAGAGTAGGTAGCCTCGAGACTTGTCCAAAACTTGGCTGTCCCAGGGGAATTCCCAAAGGATTTGGCCGTTTCTAGGGCAGGGATAAAGCTTTGTAAACAATCATAAAAACTTGAATTCTTCCGAGTCCTCTCCGCAATTTAGTCGCCACAGCATATTCGAAAAAACGCAATCTATTGTGGGCGCCAAACGGTGGGTTTACAAGTTAAGGCGCCGACTCTGTTCGCTTAATCAGCGATCTTACAAATGTTTTGTTGTCTCCAAAATGCTAGCAGAATGTTCTCGATACACGAAGTCTAG